AAAGAGCAAGACTGGTTTTTTGGTAAGGAGTTTAAGGAGTAATGTCTCAGTCCAGAAGTACATACATGGGGACTAGAAGTCTAATAGTGAAGCCTGTTCAGTCTAGCAAAGGTATTGTGAGATCCAGCTAGTGAAGTGTGAAACCGTAGATGTCCAGGCTAGAAAGTACATATTTTTAACAGCGACAATAGTTAGTTATTGGAATGGCTTGCACAAATTGGTTAGGTTTCACCACTACTTTCTAAAGGTTAAATTTCACTGTAAATAAATTGAGTCCTGTGTATGTTTTAAAAGAAGATCAGGCTAAGTATTGGTTACGATTCCTTTGAGCCTCAGTCTCTATAGAGATTGAAGAGGAAATATTTGAGACTGGAATGCATGATCATTTAAATGTTTTGCGCAGCATTTTTCAAATTCTTTGAAAATACATGTGCATTTTGAGTCTTCTGTCTCCATGAATGCTGAATGGTGGATACGAAGGAATATGATTTTGAGCTACACTGACTTTTCATTGGTACACTGAACCAGGTGATTGAAAATTTAAGAGCAAGTTATTAGGCTTCCTCTAAAATTCCATGGTATTTGTAACTTGGACTAAACATTGCTGTGGGACAGCATAATAAACAAATGCAGCCTTCACTGTACCTCTGCATTGTTGTCTTTTAAATGGTGTCCTTGTAAAAAGGAGCGGGTATGGAAAAGGTCTAGGACTTATGGACAAGGAAGGAGAAACTCCTGGTAGAGAGAAGAATGTAATGCAAAAATAGAACTGGGTAAAGATACAAACACCCGCGTGGTTAATTAGCACTTTTGTGTTGGATGCGGAAAGACAACTGGAGCATTTGCTTTGATTATCCTTAAAAAGAGTGGCAAAATTTGTGTGGAACACCTATGGGGTCAAAATGTGGGGTGATGTGACTACTTGAATAGAAAGGAAACTTGCATTTCAGCTGCTGTTCTGGTAAACATTAACACCTGTTTGTATAAAGTATACCTACAAGAGAGAAAACTGAGACCTTATTAGGATATAGATTTGTCTGGCATTTGTGGTACTCACCTGAAACTTGGGAAATGGCTTCAAAATACCCACACTAGTTGTGTCAGTGAAGATTCAAACTTGCTCAAAGCTTGTAGAAACCTAATTAACTAGTTAGCAGAGGAAGTAGCATAGCTGGGACCACACAGTCTATTAGTATTCAAGCTAGCAAGCTTAAAGCTAGTTCAGTTATGTGTGCACAAACTGTAGCTACACCTTTAAACTGCCTAGATCGCATTTGAAGTGCAATTTATTATTATCTTACAATAAAACA